TCTTTTGCTGAATCTGGGATTTCCAGTACTGGATTCAGGATTTGTGGTGCTGGATCCAGGATTTGTGGTGCTGGATCCGGGATTTGTGGTGCTGGATCCGGGATTTGTGGTGCTGGATCCGGGATTTGTGGTGCTGGATCTGGGATTTGTGCTGCTGGATTCAGGATTTGCTGTGCTGGTTTTGGGATTTGTGTTGCTCAGTCCAGGATTTGTGGTGCAGGATCCGGGATTTGCCGTGCTGGGCCCCCTCCCCCTGTCCGTGATGTCCCTGCCCTGAGTGGGTCCCTCACCGTGGTCCCTCCGTGGTCCCTGTGCAGGCCCTGCAGGTGTCCCAGATCAAGCAGGTCCGGCTGCTCATCGACGAGGCCATCCAGGAATGTGACTCGGAGCGGCTCCGGCTCGAGGCCGAACGGTTCGAGAGCCTGCGGGAGATCGGCAACCTCCTGCACCCCTCCGTGCCCATCAGCAACGACGAGGTGGGGCACAGGGACAGGGGGATGGGGGGAGGGTGGTGGGGACACAGGGAGGGAGATTGGATTGTAGGAAGGGAGATGAGGATGGGACACAGAGAGAGATGGGGACAGGGAGAGGCTTGTAGGACACAGGGAGGGAGATGAGGAGGGAGATGGGACACAGGGAGGGAGATGGGAGCCAGAGAAGGAGATAGGACACAGGAAGGGAGATGGGGATGGAACACAAGGAAGGGAGGTGGAGACAGGGAGGGAAATGGAGACACGAGGCTGGAGGTGGGGATGGGACATGGGGAGGGAGAGGACTAGGACACAGGGAGGGAGGTGAAGAGGGAGGTGGGGATGGGACTGGGAGAGATGTGGGCACGGGGAGGGAGGTGGGACACAGGGAGGGAGGTGGGGCCAATGAGAGATGGATGGGGACAAGGGGGAGGGAGGTGGGAACAGGGAGAGGGAGATGGGAACCCAGGGAGATGGAGGGGACACAAGGAGGGAGATGGGAATGGGCCACAGGGAGGGAGGTGGGGTCAGGACACCGGAGGGGGGTGGGGATGGGACACGGGAGGAGGGGGGTGGGGACACAGAGCCGTGTCACAGGAACACAGGGCAGAGGGGCCCGGAGCTGGGGGGCTCGGGGGGCTCCCCCCAGGCCGGGAGCTGCACACAAAGGGCGGCTCAGCCCTGCCAGGCACCCCTTTGTGGGGACAGCCCTGGGAAAGGCTCCTCCCGAGGGGGGGCTGCTCTCCCCCCGCTGCCTCCATTCATCCCGGGAATGTCTGGCCAGGGAACACCCCGGGCCCGATGCCAAGGGGGCCCCATCCCATAACCGGGTCAGCTCCAAACTGGGCCCAGTGCAGCGCAGAGACTGGGCTGGGGGGTCACATGGGGGGGACCCCAAATCCTCCTGCCCTGGCTGGGCAGTCTGGGCTCCCAAACTGAGCCCAGGGTATGACATTTGTGATATTTATAATATGTAATATCTTTAATATCTAATATTTTAATGTGTGATATCTATGTGTATTACATATTAAAACATTACATATTGAAAATGTCACATTTGGGGATATGTAATGTTTGTGATATGTCATATCTGTGAATATTACATATATTTACATGTTACAATTTTTTTTTTTACAAATTACATACATTTTGCATATATTTGCATATATTGCATGTCACAGGAGTGTAATGTTTGTAATATGGGATATTTATACTGGCCACTGGTCCCAGTGCAGTGCAGGGACTGGTGTGGGGTGTTCGGGGGTGATGGGGAGATGGAACCCAAACCCTCCCGGGGTCAGGCTGGGCAGTCTGGGCTCCCAAACTGGGCCCAGATTGAAACATTTGCAGCATTATTTGTAACTGTAATATTTGTGCTGTGTCAGGGGTCACTGGGATGTTCCAGTGGGAATTCAGGGGGGCACCCACTGTCACCACGGGGTTCCTGGTGGAAATTCGGGGTGTGCTCGGTGTCCCCGTGGTGTCCCCGTGGGAATTGGGGGTGCTGTGGGTCCCTGGGTGAGCCCCAATCCCGCTCCCTCCGTGCAGGATGTGGACAACAAGGTGGAGCGGGTGTGGGGCGACTGCAGCTGCAGGAAGAAGTATTCCCACGTGGATCTGGTGGTGATGGTGGACGGCTTCGAGGGCGAGAAGGGGGCGGTGGTGGCCGGGAGCCGCGGCTACTTCCTCAAGGTGCGGGCTGGGGGGGTGTGGGATGGGGGGGATGAGGTGGGAGGGGGGGCTTGGCTTCTCCTCTACCAGGTGGGGCAATGGGAGTAGTGGTGTGGGATGGACCCTGAATCCATCCCTGGGATAATGGGAACCCCATGGCAGTGGGATGGTATGGACCCTGGATCTACCCCTGGGATGGTGGGAGTCCCACAGTGGTGTAGGATGGACTCTGTATCCATCTCTGGGATGATGGGACCCCCATGAGGGTGGTGTGGGATGGACTCTGAATCCATCCCTGGGATGATGGGACTCCCCATGGTGGGCTAGGATGGTCCCTGGCCCGGGTGATGCCTCTGGACCCACCCCTGGGATGATGGGAGCCCCTCAATGATGGACTGGGATGCTCCTGGCCCGGGTGGTGTCTCTGGACCCACCCCGTGCTCTGGGCCAAGGCTGGGCCGAAGCTGCAGCAGCTCCGTGGGATGTGCCCGGCGTGGTGTGAGTGTGACAGGCACTGTGTCCCCCCCGTGTCCCCCCAGGGTCCCCTGGTGTTCCTGGAGCAGGCCCTGATCCAGTACGCCCTGCGGAGCCTGCGGGCCCGGGGCTACACCCCCGTCTACCCCCCCTTCTTCATGCGCAAGGAGGTCATGCAGGAGGTGGCCCAGCTCAGCCAGTTCGATGAGGAGCTCTACAAGGTCAGGGGCTTTGGGGGGCGTTTGGGGGGGCATTTGGGGCCCAGACACCTCCCCCAGGTGGTGGGGTCCCCTCTGTTGCAGCGGTGGCAGCACTGATTCCCTGCCCCTCTGCCTGGGGTCAGTCTGCAGGAGTGACACGATGGCCGTGAGGTGACAGCGAGGTGGCACATCTGGGGTCCATCTCTGTGGGTGACACCTTTTGGTGATGAAGGGGCTCCTCTCTTAGCTCCACCTCCACGGGTGACACCTTGTGATGTCCATCAGATGACAGGGAGGGGGGTCCTCCCTGGGGTCCATCTCCAGAGGTGACACCTTTTGGTGATGAAGTGACAAGGGGGTGGCTGGTCTTTGGGGCCACCTCCGTGGGTGACACGTTTTGGTGATGAAGGGGCCCCTCTCTTGTCTCCATCTCCTCTGGTGACACGTTGTGATGTCCACGAGGTGCCAGGAGGTGTCATTGTCTCATTTCTGGGGTCCATCTCCACGGGTGACATGTTTTGGCGATGGCCACGAGGTGACAAGGAGGTGGCTGATCTTTGGGGTCCATCTCCTCGGGTGCCATGCCGTGATGTCCACGAGGTGCCAGGGGGGTGTCTCATCATCTCTCATCTCTCATCTCCACCCCCATGGCTGACCTGGGCACCTCCTCCCCACCCCCAACCCTCTGATCCCCCAGTCCCGGGGTTGACAACCCAACATCTCCCCCCACCCCCCCACGCTCCGGGTGGTGTCACCGCCGTCCCCGTCCCCGTGCCCGCAGGTGATCGGGAAGGGCAGCGAGCGTGCCGAGGACAGCTCCGTGGAGGAGAAGTACCTGATCGCCACGTCGGAGCAGCCCATCGCCGCCCTGCACCGCGACGAGTGGCTGCGCCCCGAGCAGCTGCCCCTGCGCTACGCCGGCATCAGCACCTGCTTCCGGCAGGAGGTCGGGTCCCACGGCCGCGACACGCGCGGCATCTTCCGCGTCCACCAGTTCGAGAAGGTGACGGCGGGATGGGGGGCCCGGGGGCACCGTGGGGTGGTTCCTGGGGGGTTTAGGGGGTGTTTGGGATCACCAGGGG